ACGTAATATTAAAAATATTAAAAATATTGTATAATGTTATACTGCGAAATAATTATCTAAATTAAATTACTTTAGTTATAAGTCATTATATTTATTTTTAATATCTCATAAAAAATTTGTTTAAAGTTATTATAAAAAAAGTTATTTATTTTTGATTAAAATTTTATAGATCAGGAGTTTTAGATAATATGTAAATAAATAAAATTTATATATTATCTGAAGTTTTAAATAATATGTCAATAAGTAATACTGATCAAAAATTTATAAATATCACATCTATTAGGTATCTAATAGATATAAAAATAATGCATATGTTCATATACTTATCAGATACCTGATAAGTATAATAAAATATTTTTTATATTTATCAGGTATCTGATAAGTATATAAATATGTACTGTATATTATTCTTACACCTATTGAATATCCAATAGGTATAGTATTTGTAAATTTTTGATTAATATAAGAAGATTTGAAATAATATGTAAATAGACAAATGATATATAAATAAACAAGAGAATCTATAAATAATATGCAAATAAACTAAGTTTATTTATATTAAAAATTTTGTCAATTTTTTGATTATTTAATATGTTATTTAATATTACTTCTAATATTTTATTAATAAAAAATAATTTATTATAAAATTAATAATTTCAAAATATGATATAATTATATAATTGTAAAAATATTATAGATTTATAAATAATTATAAACTTGCAAAATTGTAGATTTTTTAATATTAAAATTTATAATAATTATAATACAAGAAATAATATTTAGAAATGTAGATTTTTGAAATAATAATAATTATATTATACTTGTTTTTAAATAAAATATATATTTCAACTTTTTGAAAATTTTAAAATATTTATTTTATATATAAAACAAAAAAAAAAATATTTAATCTAATATATTTTTAATTAAAAAATTTATTTAGATAATTAAAAAATTTCAGATTTGAGCAGGATATTGTAACATTTGTTCAATTGTTACTTTAGCTAGTGAGTTTAAAATATCCTGAAACACATTATATGAAGATAGTTGATCAATAATAGATGGTTGTTTTTTTTTGTTTTTAGTTTAGTAACTTTTTTGAAAGTAGGAATTTTATTTTTTATTTTGATATCTTGTGCAGTTTCCTCATAAGGGTCCTCTTCAAATTTAACTATTGTTTCAAATCTTTTGTAATAAACTTTAGAATCAAATAGAATTTTTGAAATAACAGGAGTTTTTGGTAGTTGTCTTGGTTCTGCTATAATTTTTCATGAGAATTGTAACCTTTTTATATTCTTTTCAAATTGCTTACTGGAGATTCTAAATTTATAAAATTTTTTGAATATAAATTTACACTATTGCAAAATTGTAGATTTATATTACAATTAAATTCAAAAAATCTACAATATTGAGAACTTGTAAAATTAATTACAAGCACTATTCCTACTATCAAGTAGAACTCCAAACAGGTTAATTCGCATATGACTTGCATAATATAAAATATTAAAATGGATTGTAACTCATATATTAAAATATTAAATTTCATATGAAATTCTGATTTGTTTGATATGGAGGTCAATTGTTAGAGCACTACTATCAAGTATATAATAGATATCTAGTATATGATATATTTTGATCTGTGATATGTTAAATGACCTGTGAAGTAGACTCTACTTAGTAAAGTAAGCAAAAACAATTAAATAATTTATTGAAATTCTTGATCAAAGTGTTATTAAGTAAAAATAGATTTACAATGTTATTTAAAAAAAATCAAATTCTTAATTCTTACACAATGTTATAGTATGTTAATGATATTTGTAAGTTATTAAAATTTTAATAATTTGGAAAATAAGAAAATACTAAATTTTTAAAACTGATATAATTTAGTCATTTATATATATTCTTGAAATATTTAAATCATAAATTAAAGTATGTATAATATTTAAATAATATTGTTATAACCGTTAACCTATCTATGTCATGTCATAATAAGCAATATGAAAAAAATTTAAAAATTTATATAATACTTCCAAATAATAAATGTTTGAATAACTCTAATTCTACTTTATGAAATTGAGACGTAATATAATAATGTAAAATGACATAATAATTTTATTGTTTTTTTTGATCTTGAAATATTTTGTCATTGACCTCAAATTAATTAATTGTAATTTAAGACATGTTACAAATTATAATACAATATAAAAAACCGATAGAGATATTAAAACAAGGAGACAACCCTGTAATCAGAAATAAAAATAATAATACTTTATAACAATATGATAAATTTATAAAATAAAAAATCATTGGATAATGATTCTTTATCACCTTTGAGGAAAAAAAAAACTTTATCAAAAAGTGTGGAACTTATAAATGCATTGTCCATTTATTACAAAATTGTCAAGATAAACCTTATTTTAATATTACTTTAATTTATTATTGATATTTTGACTGTGACAAATTTCAAAAAATTATTACATGTAATAAAGTATTGCATAATTTAAATCAATGAGGCTGGTTTTTCTAAAATTAGTTCTTTTTTAAAGAATCTCGCCTTAGCAACAAAAAAAATTAGTCTTTCTTTTGGATTTCATTATCACGTCAGGTTTATAGTAAAACAATACAAAGCATTATCTACTATCTTTTAGCTCCCTTGTATCGACCTCAAAATTTTTTTTTTTCATAAGAACAATATGAATGAAAGTATTGTCTCGTTCAATAAAAAAAATTAATTTTAGTCATGAGGTTAATCATTGTATATCATAAGTAATTGGGTTAAAAAATTTTTCTTCAAATGACCAATATAAAAATTGGACCCTTATATTTGATTACACAGCATTTATTATGGAAAAACGTGTTAATCACATCGGGCTAACAACCATATTCAAAGGATAATAGAATAATTGTTCTTTGTTCGACATTAATATTAACATATCTTCGAACTGGAAGATTTTGTCAATTTGTGAAATATTAAAATTTAATTAAATTAATTAATGAAGAATTTACAAAAAAGATAAAACAATACTATAATCGATTCGGCGTCGACAATAATGCTCAATGTTACAATTTGCTAATAGTCAGCTGTCTCAAAAAATCACTAAAAAAAACATCTCGTCACATTGCATCTTTATTTTCGGACACGCAAAAATTTTATTATTATACTGCTAACGATACGAAATGATAGATAATTAGAAAGGGATGTTTCGGATTATGACGGAAAAAGATTTATCTTAATTATTTTGAATCGTTTCTTTTTATTTCCAGGAGAAATTCTATTGTACCTTTAATTATCCTTATGAAACTTATACTTTGTGTTTGATCATTTTTTTATAATAACAATTTATTTATAATTGATAACGTCATGTTACAAAGCCAGTTATTTGATATCATTAATAACAATACTAAACCAAAAAAAAAAAATAGATTTATTAGATAAAAAAATATTAAAAAGAAAGAATTTTCATTTATACTGGATGCAAGTTGACGTAACGTTCGAAATTCAATAATAAATAGTAATAATGCAAGTTGACAGACAAATTTGAGGGATAAGCCAAATTCCCTTGATGGATAATAAAATGTATTTATTTATAATATATATTTGTATATAAAAGTGGCTGTAAAATTTATCACTTGTGGCGTAAATATTATAAATTGTTTTTTCACATTATCACTTTGTATTTCAAGATTATCACTTATTATAAATTCGTCGTCACAAAGTTTTTTAAAGTTTTTTGTTTATTGTTTATGTCAGCTTTCTTGATAGTGACATTACTGAATGATTATGATGATTATCAAATTATGTCATTTTTTATTTATTCATATGGTATTGATAGTTCCTTTGACTTATCGCCTTCTTTTCATTAATGTTATCAGTTATATAATACAGATTGACATCTTTTAATGATAAAATGAAAAGACGTGTCTTTTTTTTTTTTTTAAAAAAAAAAAAATAATAATAAATAAATAATTTATTTCACATAAAATATACTTGGTGATATAAAAGAATTCTAATAAATAATTATAATATAATATTAACTCCTGAAGTTGATACTTTAAATTCATAAATACTAAGGAACAAAATAATTTCAAATCCATTCTTTGACTTTGCCTCAAAAAATAAAAAGAGAGATTAAAAAGTCGTTGAAAAAGAAACCCGATTTCTTTATTGATAACCAATAATATTTATTCTTACTTAAAAATTTTTCTCTTTCTTCATCTCTTTGACTTATTATCTTTAGATAGAAAATGAGATAACGAAATTTTTTTCTATTATAATATTAAATATTGTATCATGAACAAGGTAAATAAATGAAAAATTATATGTCTCATTTAAGTTTTTTTTTTGTTATTAGTAAATGAAAAGGAGACAATTTTTTTATGAACTGAAACGAAAAATTATTTTATCTTCACCAGTTTTTAACACACTGTTTATAATAGTACATAATATAAGAAATGTAAACTATAATAAAGTGTATATATAATCAAACAGTATATCAAAAATTTATACATCACAAAGGAAACCATTTATGTGGCGTTTCACTGTAAAATCATCTTCCTTACATATCAATATTATTAAATAATTTTATTTATAATTTAATATATTGAAAATGAAAACTATTCTTTTACAATATTAAATATATTAACATTTATATCATTTATAATTTTTTAAACATATATACAGTTTCATTTTTAATTTATTTATACTGATTATTCTAAAAAAATATATTGGACAAATATGGTTAGTGAGAAAACTGAATGAGCATCAAGAAAAATTAAATAAAAAGTTGAGTTTAATGGTCGATTCCACAAAAAAAAATTTTCTTCATTTTTCAAAAAACACAAAAATTTACTTCAACAAAATAAAAAGTGAAAACTTTTCAATCTTCTATCTCATAACATTATTAAAACGCGAAACTTTAACATTTTAAAAAAGTTTTTTAGTTTTCATTTATAAACAAACAATCAGCAGTTTCCTTGCGAAAATAATAACACTCTTAAACAAAATGAGTAACATTACGACATACACAACAACCACTGTAGCCAAGAATTCTAAACCAAGACTTTTATTGAAAACGACGATGAATAATACTACCGCTCAATCAACAGTAACAGCTACGGCCTCTATAACTCTATCTTCTTCACCCATAACAGGGTCTTTCTATTTACCACCGCCACAAAAAACAAACAGAAAAGGTCGTTTCCTCCATAAACATTTACGAAAACCCCCTTCCTTCGATACTTATGTTAGTGGAACAGAACCAGTAGACCTCAATAAGCCTCATGCTTATTACACTGGTACCTCCAAACGGTCCAGTTCACTTTCTTCTTCTTGTTCTTCCTCTTCTTCATATGATAATAGTCGTTATCCCATCTTTACCAATGAAGAATTAATGTATGCCAAGAAAGCTATTAATGGTCTTTCTACCTATCAGCCCCGTGCACGGCGAGGTTCATCTACGACCGTCAAATTTGTCAGGTTTGCTAATGACTTTAATGATGATGGTAGTAGTATCACTAGTTCTTCAAGCAGTAGCAGTAGTGCGGATGATTGGGATCCGCAAGATATTGATGAGGAAGATGAGGATGAAGAGTTCATTTTCATGACTCCAAGAATTCCCATACACGAACGACAAGACATTAAACATCACAACAGAGCTTATTCAACATGAATTTACGCATCTCTATTTTATTTTTTTTTTTAATAAACATTTGTTACTTGGGTTCAATAAGTTTGATAGGTTTGATAGGGGGTGTAATGGGGTTTGATAGGTTTGATAGGGGGTGTAATGGGGTTTGATAGGTTTGATAGGGTGTAATGGGGTTTGATAGGTTTTGTTTATGGTTTACTTGTGATGTTAGAAAAATATTAGAAGGCGTTAGGATTTGGGAGGGAACGAGAACATTTTAATTTCAAACAATTGGGAAATAAGTTCATTTTAACAACCTTAAAAATTTAAAATTAAAAAAAAAAAAAAAGATCGAAGAAATACGAAAACCAGAAAAACTTTTTGTATATATAGTTGATTTTAGTATTTCTTTTTTCTTATTTAACAAAAACTTCATCCCGCATCTAAATTGCGATGTAATAAAGTTGACAATTTATCATTAAACATGAAAATTATTAATTCTTAAAGATTTTCTACTCTTTTTTGTTTGCACATATTTATTTTAAACCCATTTCTTATTGATATACTTTTTTTTTTAATCTTTTCTTTTTTTGAATTTGTCGAATTGGTTAACCATTTTTCACGAGTTGTAATTATTCATTTACAAAAAAGTTGGTGGAATGAATTTTTTTTCTCATTTATTTTGTAATTAAGGAATTAAGAAGTAAACTAAGTTAATAAGGGAAATTTAAGAAAATTGAAAATTATTCAAAAGTTGTCCAGATAAAAAACATAAGCATTTTTTTGATGCGCAATAAAGTTTTTAAATTTGATCATTAAAGGTGTTGTCTGTTAAAGTGATTTCTTTACTTCATAGTATTAAAAAAAAGTGTTATTCATTTAAAAAATTTTTCTAATACGTGTTTGTGCACCTACCTTTAACCTTAAGAGGAAAAATGACATAATGAGTCATGTGTATCTCGGTTGAGTTATTATTCATTGTTAAGAAATCTTTTTATCATTCGTCAAAAGAAAAAAATATAGATCGTTTTCACGACTTTAGTGAATCTTTCATGGTTATCCTCTAAACGTACGTCAAAAAAACGCAAAGGCAAAGTAAACAAATATATGCAACTATAATAACATTAAACTAAATTAGTGATACACATATAAATAATCGTACGACTTAGAATAAAAATGCGAGAATTACTAAGTCCGTTCACATATACTATTAGTATTCTTCTTGCATAACCAGTACAACCAGTTCACTTCGTTTTTGGTCTTCTCTTATCTCACCTATGCAGAAAGTTATGTATGATGTCTATTTATTTAGCCCGTCTACTTTGACTCGCATTTTTTTCAAGAATAATACAAAAATATGCCTTGATACAGTCAGTGCTTTTTATTATTATTTAATTTAATCTCATTTAGATTTCCTCCAATTGGTTCATTCAATATAGCTTATTTCTCTAAATTGGACAGGTTTTATTTTTGATTTTCATTTTGAATGCTTCAATTAGTTTGGTTTCAAAACTTAGGCACCGATTTTCGATTTAATTCTTTTTGCTTTAATTAGTTTATTATTCTTTCATGAAAGAGAACGAAGAGAATATTGAAGTTCTATTTTATTAATGAGATCGGTCCATTATTTTCAGAAATTTTTTTCTTTAGAACTAGTTTAATCCGTAAATTTAATTATAATCATTCACAAAAAAATAAATATTAAAATAATTTTAAATAATTATAATTATTACGATTAAACTAGTAAAGATTCACAAAGATGTAAAATGCATGCAGACAAAATAAGGGTTATCGGAGTTAAATTTGCGAATTTTAGGATCTATTTTTCGTTTTCGTGTGTAATTCTTCTTATGCACGTTTTTTCTTTATACATCTAGTTTTCGTAAAGATTTACATTCTCCTATTCTTTTTTGTTACACATTTTTCCTTTCTTTCGAATGCTAATGGTCGAAACAAATGTGAATAAAAGTTTTAATTAAAAATGTTTATTTTTTAATTATTATGCACAAAACCTAATTGCAATCAGTCCATAACACTTAATCCCCATATTCAGTAATTGCTGATAAGAAAAGTAAAAGATTTCGTATTAGTACTTTAATTGTATGCGTCTTTCTGGGAAGTTTAATAAGAAAATTTTTTGTTTGTTTGCACAGTCAATTTCATTATTTCATTATTTCATATGATCCGACAGTACAATTGGGAGAGAAGATGATAAGCCAATAAAATCTAAAAGAAAGTCGAAAATTAACAATCTCTCTTACCAATTAATGCAATATTATTTTATATATTTAAAATAAAGGAGAAATGAGTTTATTTTAAGTTTACTCGTATTCTCTTCTTTTTATTTAATTGGCTTATCATGATTCCCCCCCCCCCCAAAAAAATTTATATATATTGGAAAAATATTATTGTTGACAAAATTTAGTTTCCTGCTGATAAACTGGAAGATATGTAAGTGATGCATTTTACAGCGAAGCGTTAAATTTTTAATTTTATAGGAGTGAGAAATTAATATATATATTTTTTTTTTTTGGATCATGATAAAATCTATAATCAGGAGACTGCCGATAATTTTAGAAAACGTGGTAAATGATATAAATGATATAAATGATGTAAATTATGTAAATTATGTAATTAATGATTGATGTAAGAAAATCAAGAATTTTCATATAGATAAAGGTTTTAAAGAGATTAATGAAATCGCGGGGTGAAAATGGCTTGGAAAAAATGACAATTTCGTGTTGGTTATTTTTTGTATGACCAGAAGACCAAATGATTGGTTCTCAATATTTTGTTGTGAATTCAATCCCGAATATTTATGTTTACAGTAAGAGCCTGCAATAATTTTTAGGCTGGTTTAATTTAACCCCAGAGAGAAATTCTCATTTTTATCTGTACTTGTATTATCTAAATAATAATACTTTTTATGCTGCCACAATTTTCATTAGTGATGAGTTAAAAGAATTTTTTTTTAATTGGTGAGCTTTGTTTCACAATAATATCGCGTCAAAACATATCTGATATATATAATATGTTATAAATTGAAAGATTATTCGAAAATCTTCTTGGTAAACTCGCAAGGTGCAAGTAAGAAATCAAATAAACAATTCGTTTCTTGCGTGAGGCTTAATATTTACTTTAACAATATACGAAAATAGTATTGTTGGAGGTCAATTTTACAAGCGAAAAAAAATATTGTCAATGCATTAAAAATATTTTCACAGTGATAATAAATAATCATAGCAGGACAAATAGCACAGTCTCAACGAAAGATAATGTGTGCGCGCTTATATTGAGATTGTTATATTGTTTTACGTGAATTAAGTGTGTAATAAATAAAATACAGATCCAATCACTTTCATATAATCACAAAATTTTTTTAATCATCTGACATGGCGGGGCTGCAAAATATGCAATATCGCAGAAATTTAAATACTGAAATAAAATTTTGAGAAAAATCCATCTATTTAATATTATTTAATATCCAACCTTTATTCGCTTGAAAAATAAATAAACAAATTTGTACACTTATGTGTTTTCATGTAATACTATGCTTTAGAATGTGTTATCTGCTTAGTTTATACTCACTCCAGTCAATGGAGCATGAGTGTTTGTGCTTTTAAGGAAAACCTAAATTCGTCAAAACAACAAATATCGAAAAAATAATTTAAATTTATATATTTTTCACTAAATTAATCCAATGGATTATTTCTAAATTTAAAAAATTAAATTAAATTAAAATTAAATAAAATAAAAAAAGGATGCGAACTCTCGGATATAGAATAATTCTTCCCGCCAAAAGATCTTCAATCCATTCAAGTTAGTCAAGATTGGAAATATTATATGTAGTTTATCATCAACAAGATAAAATAAAGAGATTTTGAAAGAAAGTAATAAAAATAAATGATTCCTAGCATAAAGAAAACATTTGATGCATCAATTGATGCTTCGATAAGGTATTTTGGCTGGTACTTTTTTTTTTTTGTTCTTGATTTAGTGCATAAATTTTTATACTATATCTGATATCTTTAAATTTATGTAACCACATGACCAAACTTTATATTTTTGATGGGAAAATTAAATTTTAAATAGCTCAGATTAATTTCCTTTTTTGTACTAAATATCGTAAAAAAAAAAAAAAAAAAAATTGAAAAAAAAATATTTCTTGTATGAATCAAGCGAATCAAGCGAATCATCGTTAAATGATAAAGTAAAAAAAAAAATTAGACTATAGTTTCCGAGAGTGAAATATATTTTCCGATATTACCTCATCAAACTGATATGGAGAACGCCACCTCCTCAATATTTATTATTGAATAAACTTTAAAAACTGGTTTCATTTCCCTTGTCATCACGCTTTGTTTTGATAAAAAAATTTTCAATAAATGTTCTAAATTTCCGAAAATATAAATCATTAAATCAAAATAGGCAAGGGTGAGCTGCGGCTTCGTCACGGTATTTTAGTACACCATTATTTTAGCTACACGGCATTTTTATATAAATTTCTATCAAAAATTCTTTTAACGTGTCGTCTAAACAAATTTATTTCAATTTAAATATCACATAAAAAAGGATTTTTATGATTTTTATAATGAAAATATCTTTATAATAAAAACGATAGTATTTTAAAAAAAGGTAATTAAGAAAAAGATCATTAACTATTTTTGTGTAAACCCAATGATTCATCTTTGATTACGCCTTTTCTATAATACGTCTTTACGTCATCCCACTATCATTTGTTCTAATTTTATCACACAAGAGAACATTATATCGCGGTAGAGTTCAAATATGAATTCTGCACCAGTTCGATTTAAAGAGTAATCGCTCTATTTTTTAAATACATAAAGTCGTGAAAACCTGTTAAATTTGTGGGGTCAAATTAAATTATTACATCAAAGGCGTAAGGTTACGTTCTCTGACGACATGGAAGAAAACCTGTTTTTTGTTGATTTTGTCAATTTTGTCAATTTTAGTGGCATTAAATATTTATTAATAGTATTTCATTCATATAAATTTTTCTTATAAAGATTGCGATTTCAATT